TGCTCAAACCTGGGGGAGCAGGACAGACACCACAGCTCAGGACCCTGCTCCAATTCTTGAACGCTGGGTATATCGCGACAGCGCCGTCACCCCTGCCAACCTCTCCTTCTTACTCCCGCCCTCACAATCCCGAAAGTCCCATTTCCCCAAAATAGAGACATATGTAGGGGCCTATAGTGGCCTGAACGCTCCAGGGCTCGATGGCTCTAGCTCGGGGACGGCTTTTATCGAGCCCTGTCGCGGGCCTTACAGGGCCATCTCCGCCTCCATCTCCTTCAAGCGTTCCTCGCCGCTCTTGCCCGGGATGCCGGCGCCAGGGCCCGGGACCACAGGTCCTCCTGCCCCCGGGAGTCCCGGGGCTGGCCCTGCCCCGGCCATCGCTGCTGCCGTCGCTGTCGCTGCTACTACCGCCTCAGGTCAGTGGCCTCCGCCGGTTCCGCTGTGTACTCTGTGGCTTCGTCAGGGTGGGCGCCCGCGGATGACGTATCAGCGAAAGCGACGGGCGCCGGTACTTCATACGCCAATGAAGCTCGCCTTTGGAGCGAGGGCCAATGAGAACCTGGCCACACCCAGAGGGCCCGCCCCAAGGAGGTATATAGGCCAATCAGAGTTCCGGAAAAACGAGTCAACGGAAGAACCCGGTCTCTGAGAGTGCAGCCAAGAGAGATGGCCAGGCCTTCATGGAGGAGGACAAGCTGAGGGGAGGGCTATGTAGTCAGTTGGCCCTGTCCGTAAGTGGTAACTGGGCCGTTGAGAACTCACGAAAGTTCAAACTTCCGTCCCACCGCTAGACCCGTTCCGGAAGTTTTAAAACATACGGAAATCCGCATCATCCCAGGACAGGGCGAGGCTGGAGACAGCTGGGGGCAGTGGGTTTATACTCTGGGGTAGACAGACATGCTACAGTGAGTCCCAGAAAAACCAGGGACATGATGTGGAAAGTTCAGAGGAGGCGCCTGATTCAAGCTTCCTGGAGGAGGTGACATCTGAAGAGTTTGCTAGATGAAAATGAGAGATGTTCTGGGTAGGAGGATTAGTTCATGCAAAGGCTGAGAGAATAGTCAAATGTGTCAACCCTGAAGCTAACGTGTGTAGGTTTTGTCTCTGCGTGCTTTCTTGGGACACAGCTGGCCTCTTTTTTTTTTTTTCGGTCCTCAAAATGTTTTATTGTGAGTATTTTAAAAAACACAACAGTAGAGCGAATAATATAAGAAACATCCATATGTCTCTCAGCAGTTACTAATATTTTACCCTTCTTGATTCGTCTGTACTTCTCTTTTTATTTTTTTGCTGGAGTATGTGAAAACAAATTCCAGATAGCAGTCAATTCACCCATAATTGCTTCATGTCTAACAGATGAGGAGTATTTTAAAAAAATTTCCAAAAACAAAAACCAAAAACGCTACACCCCTAGCATTTTCACACCCAAGAAAATTTCTTAGTAACATTCAACACTCAGATTATGTTCAATTTTCCCTGCTTCAAAATGTCTTTATACAATAGTTTTGTAAAATCAGGATCCTAATAAGGTCTACACGTTGCATTTGGTTGGTTGGTCTTTTTTTTTTTCTCTCTCTTTCTTATTTTTATTGTTTTCCTTGGATTCTTGAAGTCTGTTTGAATCAGCATAAATGAATGCTCTGTTAAAGCATTGTTGGTGTTGACTGAAATAAAATGCACAACCTTCGCTGGACATTTCTGAGGACTTGAACTCCTTCAGGCCCGGGATGACAGCCTTTCAGATCGGTCTGAGGGACGGCTCCAAAGAGGTAGGGGAGGAGCCAGGATATATAAGAGTTTTACAACAAAAATCAGTCAATCAGAACATTAAAGATTACTGTAAAAGAAAACCAGACATCTCAAGTTAGAGGATGTAGCGTTTTCTATGTATGGGAAGGAGCAAACGTCTGGGCTCATTGAAATCATTCCTTTGACAAGCACCTAGCTATCTAGGGCCAGTATCCTGTCTTTTCACATCCTGAGTCCCCTCAGAGTGCACCATTGTGGGTGGCTGTAGACCGGGCTGTCTAAGCGCTTGTTTGTACCCTGAGCTTAATGTGGGAGGTGGTAGCTGCGGCTGGTGACTTGATGGCTTCAGCAATCTTTGTTTGCTGATATGGCTTACAGTATTTTTTGTTCACATTGGGTTTTTTTTTTAAATTTCTTTAATGTTTTTCTTTTTTTTGTTTTGGGTTTTTAGAAATTTTTTTTTAATTTGTTCACATTGGTTTTGAGTACTAGTCATGTATTTTGTAGAATGTTCCTCATTTGGGATCTGTCAGATATTTTTCTAGTCATTAGGCTGGGGTTTATGTTTTTTGGCGGGGGAAAGACCATACAGGTAAAGTGCAGTCCTCATCATGAGTACATACTATCAACAGAATTATTATTAATGTTAACTTTGATCTCCTATGGTAGCACTTGTCAGGTTTCTCTACTATAAAGTTACTTTTTAAAAAATTATTTTTGCTATTTACTTTTTAAAAAATTCTTATTTTTTATTGAAGTGTAGTCAATTTACAACGTTAGTTTTAGGAGTACAGCAAAGTGATTTAGTTATATTTATATACACACACACATATATATTCTTTTTTCAGATTCTTTTCCATTATAGGTTATTACAAGATACTGAATATATTTCCCTGTGCTATACAGTAGATCCTTGTTTATCTATTTATATATAGTAGTGTGCATATGTTAATCCCAGGCTAATTTGTCTCCCCCACTTTCCCCTTTGGTAACCATAAGTTTGTTTTCTATGTCTGTGAGTCTGTTTTGTAAATAAGTTCATTTGTATAATTTTTAAAGTCTCCACATATAAGTGAAATCATATGTTGTTTCTCTTTCTCTCTCTGACTTAACTTCCCTTAGTATGATCATCTCTAGGTCCATCCATGTTGCTGCAAAAGGCATTATTTTATTCTTTTTCTATGGCCGAGTAATATTCCATTGTATACATCTTCATCCATTCACCTGTCAATGGACATTTAGGTTGCTCCATGTCTTGGCTATTGCAAATGTGCTGCTATGAACATTGGGGTGCATGTATCTTTTTGAGTTAGTTTTCTCCAGATATATGCCGAGGACTGGGATTGCTGGATCATATGATAACTCATTTTTAGTTTTTTAAGGAACCTCCATACTGTCCTCCATAGTGGCTGCACCAATTTACATTTCCACCAACAGTGTAGGAGGGTTCCTTTTTCTCTATATAAAGTTACTTTTAAAAACTCCCTTTTCACTTTGGAAGTTACTATGCACAGCCCAAAATTAAGGGGTGGAGTTAAGCTCCACCTCCTTGAGAGTGAAATATCTACATAAATTATAATTTGGAATACATCTGCACAGGGGTTTAATTATTAAATCATTTATATCGGTATGGACTCATGGATACTTTATACTTTGGGTTCTTATTCAGTACTACTTTAGTTGCTTTTTGCTCAAATTGTTCCAGATTTTAAAATCTTAAGTCTTTTTTAACCTGAAAATTTCCCTCCTCCTGCCTTTTTCTTCCTCCTTCCCTTTTTCTTTTCCTTTCTTTCTATTTGTTAGATTGATCAATTGTCCTATATAGGATATCTCACATTTTGGATTTAACTAACTACATTGTTTCACTTGGTCCTTCCTGCCCCTTTCCCCTTTCTTATATGTTGAAGTGACAGAAGCTTGATTAGATTTAGATTTAATTTGGTGAAAGAGTACTTAAGAGATAGTCAGTTGTAATATATCCCATTGAATCCTACTGTATCCAGTCAGGAGCACATGCCTGACTGTCCTCCTTTGGTGATGCCAAGACTGAGCAGCAGTGTTACCCTGTTTCATCCATTTAAAAAAACTCAATCAACCTTTCTGCTAATAGTTTAGCAGCCCTTGATCTATTACTTCATTAATGTATGGAAAATAGTGATTTCCAAATTTTATCATTCTCTCTGAAAATTATTAGTTATTTTTATAAACAAATTCTCCCTTTTCAGGAATTAGGTTACTTGTTCACATACAGGGAAAAAGACAAAATAATGCTTGATTCTTTCCCTATTTTATGGGGGAAAAATAAGAAATGAGTTGGTTCCTAGCACCCTTCAAAGGTGACCAATGAGGTTTGTGTGTATAAATATCAATATGAACTTATTTATGCGCTTCAAATCATTGCACTCATTCTAATTGCTGCTCAAAATGTCCCCAGTGGCAACCCCTTCATATTGTCTCTTGAGTCCTTTTGACTCTCTCTGTATATTTTTGACCCAATATGTGTGAATACATATGTATATATATATTTTATATAAAGAGAAAAACCCATGAGTTCATTCTTATATTTCCAATTCAAATGAAGATTACAAGGTGTTTACTTTTTTTCTTTTTTGGGGGGGAGGTAATTAGGCTTATTTATTTATTTATTTTAATGGAGGTACTGGGGAAGGAACCCAGGACCTTGTGCATGCTAAGCAGACACTCTACCACTGAGCTATACCCTCCCGGACAGGGTGTTTACTTCTTTGATTATATATCTGTATCTCTTTTCACTTGCATTAAAAATCTTAGTCCCCAGTAACATTAGCATAGCTACTTATTTGCTTCAACCTATAATTTCAAAATATGTAATGTTGAGTCTGAAAATTTTATACTATATATTTTATCAAAATAAAAATACCAGTATTATTATGAACAATAAGACTATCTGAAAATTGCAGACATCATCCTTAATACTTCAATACACATCAACATTCTAAGAATATTCTCCCACCTAACCACAATACCATTTCATTATCACACCAAAGAAATTTAACAAAGATACTAATATTTTCCAATATACAAACTCCCCATTCCTCATATTCAAATTTCCCCAGTTGTCTTGGGGAGGGGGAAATGTACTTTCACTTTTTAAAAACGCTATGATTCAATCAAGATTCTGCATTGTATTTAGTTGTCATCTCTTTTAATCTAAAATAGTTCCCACCCTACCCCCATTGACCTTCTGAAGAAAATGGTCTAGTTGTTTTGTACAAGGTGCCACAGTCTTTATTTCACCCAGTATGTCTTAGCAATACATTTCTCTAAGTAGCATTTGGGCAAAGAACAAATGCATGTATAGTTTTGCTGGCGATTATCCCACTGGTGTTCCATATTACATGTACACTTACGTATTAAACTGCTGTTTTCCCATAGTCTTGCCAACAGAGTGAGTTGCCAAAATTATGGGTTTCCTTTTTCCCAGTCTGATAGGTGGGAAATATATATATCAAAGTGGGGTTTTAATTGCTTTTCTCTTATTGAGTTTGAGCATATTTTCTGAGAATTGTCCATATATATATTTTGCCCACTTTTCTATATTTAGAATTATTCTTTTCCACCTTGACACTACACACACACGTGTGCACACACATACCCTTTATAGTATAAATTGCAACCCCCACCCCCCTAGTTTGTCATTTCTTCTTACCTTGTTCTTTTTTTTTAAACCATGCAAAAATTTACTTTTATGTTTTTGTTAGTATTTCCCATTATTGCATCTGGATTTTGAATCACATTTAGGAAAATTTGTTTAATTTCTAATTTATAGAGGAATTCACCTTCATGGAGCTTACATTCTGTTTGAAGAGGACAATAAAAGATACAATAAAATATTGTATGTTAGAATATGTGCTATGGAGAAAAATTAAGCAAGGATAGGGGGTAAGGACCCTCATGTTCAACAGGGAGGTGGAGGCTGGGAGCTGAGATGAAGAGAGGGAGGAGGAGAGGGAACACTAAGGTGGTGCACAGTAAGGCAAATGTGAAGAGTAGCCAGGGACAGGAGGAGAATGGGAGAGTCAGGGTGCCCGGAGGCCAAGAGCGGAGTTACCAGAAGGGAGGTGGAAAACAAGGTATAAGATCACAAAGATGTCAAATATCCCTAATCTGGAAACTAACTGCAACCCCAGTAAAACTCCCATCCATGTTTGTATTCATTCTGGAACCAGGTAAGTTGGATGTAAAGTTCATTTCATTTGGGAGAAAAAAATAGCAGGAAGAGATAGGGAAACACTGAAAAATGAGAGCAAGATGGCAATCAGCCATTTCAGGTATGAAGACATATTACACAGCCTTTATAATTAAAACACCGTGGGGATGGCGCAGGAGAATCAGGCAGACAAAGGTTCGGAGAGAACCCACATACACCCAAGTAACCATGGAAACTTAGTGTATGAAAAGGTGGTATCTCAAATTTTACTTTACAAAGTTTAGGTAGGCAAAGTTTTACTTAACAAATTGAAGAGAATTCACACTGAAATGCACAGATCTAATGAGTACAGCAGGATGTGTTCTGACAAGCCTGTACACCTGTGTAAACCCCACTATCTTCAGTGTACATTTTCGGCTCTAGAAAGTTTGTCTCTTCCTTGGTTGATCTCTGCCACCCACCTTTCTTTCAGAGGCATCACTGCTCTGAATGAGAATTTTCATAAGTGCTGTTGAGATATATTTAAAATGAGACAAAACTGAATTCATTTGGATAAGTTTCAAATGGCTCAGAGATTTAAATGTAAAAAAGAAACTATAAAAACCAGAAGACGACCTCATCTCTTAAACCCTCCCCCTCTTCCACCAGCTACACTGCTTCCTCAGCCCTCACACCAGCACATTTGACCTCAGGGTCTTTGCATGTGCTGTAGCTCCCCAACTCTGCAAGCCTTCCTCAGATACCCACTGTTTCCTTCTCACTTCCTTTACAGAGTGTAACCTTTGCTGTGTAGCCCTTGATTTAAAATCACACCTCTATAACTGCTTTTCCTCCATAGCAGTTATCTTCCACATACTAGATATTTTGCTTACTTATCTTGCCAGCAGTCTGTTTTCAAGTCCTAGAACAATTCCCCTGAAGGCTGGGACTTCTGGCCATTTTTTTTTTTTTCCAGTACTGGATCCTTAGTGTTTAGAGCAGGTGCTCGATTACTTTTTGCTGAGGGTAAAAGTGATGCGGAGAGTTCCAGGTAGGGTGGGGCCCACAGTAGTCCATTGTCTTGGCTTTGGTGGGATGCCAGGACAGGGGCAAGGCAGTTGAGAGGAACAACAGAACAGTCTGTGGAGGGGGACAGCAGGTGTGGGTAGAGACAATGGGCTGATGCATCCAGGAGATGCTTTCTTCCAAAGGTCTTGCTAGGGTAAGTGAAGTGTTGGCGTGAACAAATGTGAAGCTCTTGACTTCTTTTTGAGCCATCTCTTCACCTGCACAGCTGCTGCAGGGCGCCTTGGGCCTGGACCCAGCGCAGCCGCCACTGGGGCAGGGACAGGCCTTGGCAGAGCTCCCCGGAGAGGGCTGCTTGTCCCGGCTGCTCCCACCTGGAGAAGGGGATGGTGTAAGAGACTGGCCTCCCGTCAACACCACGCCTGCTTGTCCTCAGCCTGCCCCCGCCACCACCGTGGTCTGAGTTCTGCTTGCTCTGCCCAGTTCCGCCCCCACCTCAGCATCTCCCCCTCACCAGTCCCCAACAACGCCCTGCAGCTCGGGGATTCGCTCCAGCGCTTGTTTCAGCAAGTTCTCCAGCCGCTTCAGAGTCTGCCCCAGGTTCTCCTTCTGCTCCTTCTCCTGGGATGCCCGGATCTGCAGGAGCTCTGCAGGTTAAAAACCCGAGAAACAGCACTGAGTCTCCTGGCTCCTTGGTGCTTCGCAGCCAATGGGTCACCAAGTTCTAGTCATCTAGTCTCGATCTCAGCATCTCTCCCAAACCTCTTCCTCCTTCCCTGTCCTCTTATCAGGTGCAAGCTCACCATGCCCTAGGCCTCATTCTGTTTGGCTTTCTGCCTCCCCCTGATAGCCCATCAATCTCCATGGCCCATCCCTCAGCGTCCTCACTGCTTCCCTACTCTTCCCCCAGTCTCCTTCCTAGGCTCCAAACCTCGGCCTCCCACTGGTCCACCCTTCACATAGCAGGCAGAGCGATCTCAGCCTAAACCTAATCCTTTCCTTCTCCTGCTTGAACTCTCTAAGGCTCCCCAGTGCCCCAAGACAGAGCCCAAGCTCTCAGCGTAGTACTTAAGGGGTGCATTATGTGGCCTCTGCTCACTACTCCTGAGCAAAACCTCACCTATTCCCCAGGGCTCACTTGAGACACCGTCTTTCCTCCTGGACGCCCTTCCCAGCACCCCTCACCCCCAGGCTTCCTCCTCAGACCACTGCAGCCCTTCACTCCAGCGGTGTTTTCCCCTGGGCGCTGTGACTGGTTGGGTCCCTCTCCATGGACCCAGAATGTTCCCAGCTCAGAGTAAGTGCAGATCAGCAGTGTGGTCAGACCCTTGGGCCTGGATGCCTTCCTGGCCTTGCAACCTCAGGCATGACACTTGCCCTTTTTTCAGGCACTCCTAGGGTTAGGTGGAATTATCTGAACCATAGGCCAGTGGGGCAGGGGACAGACTGGGCACTTGGGAGATTGGATCCATAGGGCCTGCTGACAGGCTGTAGGTGGGGGACTGGGAAGAATTAAGGACGTCTCCTGGGTTTCTGGCTTCAGCATCTACATGAGGACAGTGGGGTCATTTATTGAGGAAAGGAAAACAGGAGTGAGAAAAAGAATTGCTTTTTGGATTAGAGGGAACTAAGTTCTGGGACAGATGTGTTAAAAGTCCAAGATGCCCTTGGGGTGGGACGACGCTATGCCATGTTGTCTTAGGCTGTTTTTGCTGTTCCTTCACACTGCTCCCTGCCCACTGGACAGGGGTGGCTGCAGGGAGCCCAAAACTCAAAGGCCCGAAAATGGTCTCTTCCTGCTTTGTTGATGGTACCCTGATTGATTTCTCACTAAGGCACCTCTTCCATCTATTTCTCCTTTGGTTCTTTGCTCTTTACTTCTTTCACTGGGACACCCCTGGGGCTGGACAGCTCTCACCTCTCCTCCCACTGAGCTCTCAGGGCCAGCACTTGGCACATGTCCACCGAGTGCTTGTTGCATGAATCCAGGAATAAATGCCCTTTCTGAGTTTCAGTTTCCTCTCTGTAAACTGGGGTCTCATATTCTCTTCCCTCAAGGTAAGGACTGGAAGAAGCTGCACATGTGCAGGTAACAGTGTTGTAATCACACCAGAGACATGCAGCGTTGACTGCAGCCAGGCTCGATGCCCTGTTTGGGTTACCTGAGGCTTTGCAGCAACTCTGTAAGGTACTATGATTATGCTTACTCCACCAAGGAGGAAACTGAGGCACAGAGAGATCCTACAGCAAGGAAGAGGTGGGGCTGAGAAGAAAATCCCCATAGTTTAATTTCACAGCCCAGCTTTTAACTACTCAACTATGCTATCTGATGATGGATGAGTGCTTGGCAATTTGATGGACAGTGCCGCCTAGTGGTTAGGAGCACAGACCCATGTTAGACAGCCTGGATCCAAATCCTAGCTCTGCCTTCTGGGCAGTTACCAAGCCCTCTGCTTCCCAGCTCCCTCCTCTGTAAACGGGCTGCTGTGCGGATGAAACTTGTGAGCATGCTCAAAGCACACAGTAGGCACTGTGGAAGCCATGGGTGTTTGTGATTTCTTCCAGAGGCTGATGGTCCTGGGAAGGGGCTGGGATGCTAGATGAGGAAGCAGGGCAGGCCTACCCTGGGTGGATGGTCCTGGTGGCAGGCTGGTCTTCATGTGGAGCAGATACCAGCACCGGAGACTCTGCTGATCCTGGAGAAACAGAAGATCCTGGCGAAGAGAGGCAGCCTTTGGGAGGAGCAGTTCTGGAGCCTGGAGGAAGGTAGAAGGACAGTCACCTGAGGCGGGGTTGGGGTGGGAAGACAGGGCTGAGGGGACAGGCACTCACCTTCCCTGTAGGCAGCCCCAGCTTGTGGCTCAGCACTATGAGGCTGGAGCCCTTTGGGCAAGCAGGATGCAGCTGGTGGATGGATGGGAGGATGGTAGGCAGGGGCTGCAACCTGAGGGGGAAAGTCCAGGTTGGGTGGGGCGCTAAGGGGGAGGCTTGGGTTTCAGAAGGTCTGGGGGCTGAGAGGTGAGCTCAGGAGGCCCAGGGACTTCTGAGGACTAGGCTTCCAGAGGGTGAGGTCCTGAGGGGGAGGTCCGGCAGCCTGGGGGTGCTGGGATTGTGTTTTTTGGCATAGGCCCAGGGAGTGAAGTCATCCATGGGAAGGGAGATGGTGGCTGCCCGGTCTCACCCTCCGGGGCTGTGCCGCAGCAGGGTCCCCAGCACAAGATGGGGCAGATGCTGGGCTTCCTCCTCCAGACACCGAAGCAGCTCCCGGCTCTGGGGTGCCACCGCCTCAGATGTGGGGACTACTTTTCGCTGAACCAAAGCCAGCACCTGTGGGGAAGGAGAGGAGTGGGAATGGCAGTGTAAGGCCACTCGGCCCCCTCCCTAGGAGACCCGGCCCTACCCAGACCTGACCCCAACTCCCCTCTCACCTCCCCGGGGCTCCGGCACAGGCGCATCTTGCTGGCTGAGTTACTCTTGATGAGCAGGCGGACCTGTTCCTGTGTTTCCTCCTAGGCAACCAGAAGGCCAGGGAGATGGGCTGCTTCTCCTCTCACCGCCCAGCCTCTGGCACTGCTCCCCTCTTTGCACAGGCCCTGCTTCCTCCTGGGAGTTTCACTGGCCCCCTCTCCTCACCAGGAGGCCCAGTTCTGGATCTTAAGGCTCCCAGCCTCACTCTGGCCCTCCCTGGGCCCTGCCACCTCTCCTGGAGTTCCGACTCTCACCACCAGCTGGCGCCAGTGCAGGATCCGTTGCTGTTTGGCTTGTAGCTCCTGGAGCAGAAGCTGCCGCCGCCCCGCAGCCTCCTCCAGCTCCTGGCTCAAGGCACGCAGGGCCTTCAGCTCTGCCCACAAGGCACAGCCCCGGAGCCCCAGTACCAATGCCTGCCTGGGGCACAAGTAGAAAAGAGTAAAGGAGAAGGAAGGTGACTAAGACTCACTGTAGAGAAGGGAGACCAGATCTGCAAGGATGCACAAGGAGTCATAAACAGAGGGAGACAAACCAGGAGAGCAAGCAGGGAGGCAGAAACAGGAGTTGCAGGGGCAGGAAAAAGTCTAGTATCCCAGCACCACTGGGAGAGAGATGGCCCAGAGGCCTCTGCCCATGGAGACCCCTCACCTCTCGCTGGATTCCAAGGTACATCTCTCCATCTCCTCCATCAGGCCCCGGAGGCGCCGGGTCAGGATCTGATGCTCCTTCAGAAGAGGGCCCCGCTGGGTGACCAGCACACCCACAGACTGCCAGCCCTCCTGGAGTGAGGCACAAAGTTAGGATAGGCATGGTCCCTGGGTGAGGGGATTGAGTGGGTCTTGGGTTGAGAAGAGGATGGAGTCTTGGGAAGGGTCCTGGGGGGGTCACCTGGATGAGATGCACCATGGATGGCAGGGCCTGGCTGGAGTCTGACTGGTCTGGTGCCTGGGACCTGGGAACAGGGACAGAGCTTCAGAGGAGGAACCCTGTCCCCTTGCCTGGGCCCTTGTGGGTAGCCAATGTCAGCCTACTTGCCAGATTGGTTACTGGGTTTCAGTTCCACCCCCATCAGGTCACCCTGCCTGATCCTGACCTGTCCCAACTGACCCAGCCACTGGCCCTGCTCTGACTATGGGAGCTCCCATTCCACACCTGGCTGTCTCTGTATCTTGAAGCCCATCCAGACTGCACAGGGACCGGATCTCTGCCTCTCGCTCCGCAGCCAGGTGCTCCAAGGCAGCCAGGACATGGCCCGGGGGGTGGTTTGTCAGCAGTGTCTGGTTGGGGGAGAGGTGAAGTCAGGGCAGGATGGAGGTGGGACTGCGAGCTGGGACTCCATGGAGAAGGGGTTTGGTCCTGGCACCCTGAGGTTTGACTACCGGGCAGAGGGTGTGGCCATTCTTGAGAGCCCCCCTCACCTCTACTGAGCTAAGCCACTGCTGGTAGGAAGTTCCAAAGTGGTCATCTCGAGGGATTCTGTGGAGTTGAGGAAGGGGACAGAGAATATTACAAGACACATCAATTCACCTTCTAATGATCACCACTACCCCATAAGGTAGGGGCTGTCACTGTCCCCATTTCAAGGATGAGAAACCAGATCCTCTATGCCTACTAGACTTGAGTTCCCCACTTAATATCAACTTGTTAGCCTTGGGTCCTTTCACATGGGCTGTTTAGCTGTAACACCCTCTAAACCTTTAACCTTCCTCACCAGAGAACCCATCCTCCCTGCCTCCTTAGCTCGGGGAGGCAACTCCTCTGGGTACCCAGCGCCTCTCAGGCCTCCCCACCACTGACAGCTGTAACCACCTGGATTGTCACTGTCTATAATGGTCTGTTTCCCCCTTTTCCCAGGCTGGGAGACCTGTTGGGGCAGGGCCTGGGGCTGACATAGCCCAGAGATTCAGTGTCTATAACAAGTAACTCCTCTCAAAGCCCAGGTCCTTTGCAGGGTCTCTGGGGGCTGAGGGACACTCACGGAATGCTGCCTGCCTTGGCCTGGGAAATCAGGAGGTTCTGCAGGAACTGGGTCCGGAGGCTGCAGGCTGTTCGGACATCCCCCTGGGAAGAAGATGTGGCATGATGGTTACCTAACCCCAGAGCCTCCACGCCTTCCCTCCTAGCCCAGGACTCTTACCAGGACCACAGGCTCCAGGCCCAGGGCTGCTGACGTCAAGGGTCCAAAGTGTACATCCACTTTGGCCTTCCTGGAGAGATGAGTGCAGTTAGGGCTGGGGTCCTGGGAAGAGACAACTGGCAGAACAATGCCTGTGTCCCCTCTTGCTGCCAGCAAAGCTAGTCACAGGGATCACTAAGCCTGGACCTCCGAGGCCAACCCAAATTCCGCCACTGTCATCTCCTGGTTGGATGGCTGCATTAACTTCCTCTTGGGTCTCCCTGCTCTTAGCCCCTGCAGTCTGTTCCCATCCAGTAGTCAATGATCCTGTTAAAACCTCAGAAAATCAAAATCACGTCACTGTTTTGCCCAAAACTCTCAAAAACAATGTGGTGTGTTCCCATCACACTCAGAATGACAGTGGGTATTAGGAACTCTTCTAAGCAGACTGCATGATTTAACTCACTTAATTATCAAATCTACCCTAAGGGATAGGTATTAATATTATCCCCATTCTACAGACCTTAGAAACTGAGGCACAAAGAAGTTAAATACTTTGCCCAGGGTCACACTGCTGTTAAGTGGCCGAGTCAGGGCAGGAACTCAGTCTCAGGGTAGAGTTCCAATGCCTCCCTGGTGCTCTGTCCACCTCTCCAACCTTACCTCCTCATGCTCTCCCTCTTGCCAACGAAACTTAAGCTGAACTGGCCTCCCAGCTGTTCTTCCCACAGGCCAAGCTCAGGGCTCTGCTCTCACTGTCTCTCTGCTTGGAAATTCCTCCCACAACTCAAATGTTCCCTCCTCAGAGAGGCCTTCTCTGGCCATCCTACCTGGAGTAGCACCTCGCTCTCCCTTTCTACCATATCACTTTTTCTTTACAGCACTTATCTCCACCTGCGATTATAGGTTTGCCTGCTTCCTAGTTTACCGTCTGTCTCCATTGCATCAGAGCATGAGCTCCATGAGGGCAGGACTATCCCTTGTTTACTGTCTTCCCCCCAGCACTGGTATTCCAAGTATATAGTTGGCACAGTTCTAGGCCCTGGAAATACAGGGGGCTGAGATGACAAAACTTCCTGGCCTCACAGACATTAAATCCTAAGGAGTGGCACTCAGAATTCTGGAACCCAAGAAGGGGTCAGGGTAGAGCACTGGGACCTCTAAGAAAGTGTCTGCCCAGCCTGGTGAGGGCTGGTCCCTGGGCACCCGAGGCCCACCTCTCTATATCCTGCAAGCGCTTGAGCTGATTCTGCAGTCGCTGCATGGGAACTTGGAGCCCCCGCTGCTGTCTTCGCATGGCCCCAGCTTGAGCCCGGAGGAGGAGAGCACGACGCTGGGTGTCTTGCATGCTCTGTAGGGCCTGTTCCATGGCCATGTCTGTGAGAGGAACAGAGGTGGCCATCAGTACCTTCCCTAACCCTATTCTGCTGCCCATCTGTCCAGCCCCATGGGTCACCCTGAGCCTCAGTCTCTCGCTCCATCAGCTCCAGGCTCTGGTCTAACTCCAGGATCTCTGCCCGCAGGCGGGCAACAGCAGCTTCCAGCTCCAACTTCCGACGGGCCTGGTGGAATCAGGTACAGGGTCAGATGCATGGTCTGGCTGGGGCTCGGCCTGGCCTGACTGCCCTTTGTGGAGCACCAGGCTCTCATCTGCCCAGGTGGGTGGCAGAAGGTTTTTCCTAAGCAGTTTCTGTGCTTGAAACTCTGGGCCCAGAATAGCACAAGGGTACTATCTTGTCCTCCTCTTCCTCCTGGGATTGCCTCACCCCTCAATCTATTTATTGTCCTCACCTCCCCACTGAGCTCCACACCTGTGAGTCCTGAGGTCTCCAGGAAGCCTCCCCCTAGATGTCACCTGGGCACCATGCACACACTAGGTCCCATACTGGCCTCAGTATCTCTCCCAAACCAGTCTCTTCTCCCATCTCCCTCACCAGCTTTGATGCCTCATATCCGTGTCCCCCAACCCCCAGCTCATGCCTTCTCCCCCTGGACGGTAAGCCCCATGAGTGCAGGGATCAGGGCTGTCTTGTGACACAGTGGCCCTAGCATCACCCAGTACAAGGCTGGGCCCAGAGCAGGTCTACAGATCCTCTTTTTGGATGAAATAATATCTTGCGCTGCATGCTTCTCACCTCTGGACTGTCCTGGTGGCCATACCTGAGGAAATAAGGTGAGAGTTAGAGGATGACAGGGACTTCCAGGGGGAGACAGGAGGTGTGAGGTTGTGGGCGGGGACATGGCTGGATGGGACTGGGTCAGACAGGAGGGGATAGCTTTGAGGACCAATTACCAGAGTAGGTTTCCCCGGATCTTCTTGACATTCCTATAGTGGAGAGGGAGGAGGAAGGGCAGTTACTGTGGGACTTGCTTGGGTCCCCTCCCCTGCCACAGCTTCCCTCATGCAGCCAGGCTAACCTCTGGTTGTGTACATGCCGCAAGACGTAGGCCCAGATGTCGGCCCCTTGGCCCAGACACAGCCTGTGGGAACAGCATATAAGGGTATGCTTGGGACATCACACAGGGTGGAGGATCCTCATTCACAGAGGGGTGGGGTGGGGTGGGGGGTATGGTCTTTACTAGGGAATTCTCACCTCTGGGAGGAGGGTGAGTCCATACTTCCAGGGGTAAGATATTCCCTCCTGGGGAATAGTGAGTTTCTCATTGGGTGTAGGGGTATTCTCAATCCCTGGTGGGGTGCTCCCTTTCTCCTTGGTAGAGGGTTATCTTCAGTCACCTCTAGAGGTGGAGGTGAGGGCTATACTGTCAGGAAGTGCTCTCTCATTACCAGATGTGAGTCATCACTCCTACAGATTCAATCTCCACAATGGAGTGGTCTTTGCTGACTCCAAAGTGTCCTCGCTGGCTGGGCTGGGGTGGGTGGTGAAGTGCTGCAGGGACAGCCTTATCCTGGAGATCCAATTTTCACATGAATAATAATGAAGGGGACTTCATTATTAACTCATGGAGGATCCCCACTGGTGTCAGGGACCTCACTCTAGGTGGCCTCACAGGGTGAGGGTGGGAGTGTGGGGGTCAGGGTCAGGACGTCCTCACTCAATTCAGGATCCTCTGCCTGAATGTACCACTCGAGGGGCAGGAGCGCCCTCAACGATTATTTTCCCTGGGATAGAGGAGGAGGGGGAGGAAAGCGCGTCTTCGATGAAGATGTGGTTCTCACTCCCGGAGACTATCTCCAGGGTGGGGAGCCCTCACTCCCAGAGCGGCCCTCACCTGCGCAGCGTCGACTCCGAGGCCCGGGCCGCCACAGGCGCCTCCATCTCTTTGGCCGCCCAGGAACTCAGTTCCCGCGCTTCCTGCGCTAACTCCATGACAGCGCCGCCGCCGCAGCCGCCGCCGCCGGCGCCTCCCGCCCCCTCTTCAAGTGTGGCCTCCGCCTCTGATGTCACGAGTGCGCCGGAAGTGACGCAACCCGCCGCCAGGCAGGCGGGGATTTTTCCGGCTCTGCAAGGTCTCAGAGCCAACCTCTAGCTATCACGCCTCCGGCGGGGATCGGTCCCATTTAGCCAGGATGAAAGGGGCGTGGAGAAACGGTGGGGCCCGTTCTCTTTCCTACTATTAGCTGTTCCCTAAGAGGCAAAAGGTCCCTAATAACTCCTTTAATTTTCTAGGCAAAATGGGGCATTCATCCTAGGAGGCTGAGAATCGGGCGAGGAGATGCCAAATTTGCTGCTCTTTGGTTTAAGACACAGGGTGTCTCAGGTCTGAGTGAGGGATAGAGGGCAGGTGACGTGACCCTAATATCTTCCTGGCGTGCTTTCTTCTAGATATTCGTTCGGCCTTACCGTTCCGTAACATTCGTGAGCTGACTCTGTGCTGGGGACACCCCGGTGGCTGAGACAGCCCCAGTCTCCCTACTTCGGAGCTCACAGTTCAGTGGGGACATAGACGCATCACCAGGTAGGGATGGTAGAACATATGCAGTAGGGGTGGGTCACTGTGGGACTCACGGAGAGTGAGATATGTGGAGTGTCCCAGAAGGCACTGGTTACTAGGGCTGGAGTCCTGGAGAGCCCAGCCCACTCAGCGTCAGACATGGCCCTGAGAAATGGCAACATTGGAACTTTAATTCAATATGCTTGCACTGGTCACCACTCTGTCCTCAGTGTCCAGTACAGAGCCTGACTCTCCTAAGTTGTTGAGTAAACAAATAGTTGGGGGGGGTTCGGGGGGGGGAGGTGGATGGCGTGAGACAAAGCAGGGAACCTAGGGGAGGGGGATGGAGCAGAATGGAGGGGGAGGAGGAAGGGGTGGAGG